TACCTACAAATTCTCCTGATGTTCAAGCATTCTGCAGGCAACCATATATAAGCTTTCCCCCCAGCCACTTCCTTTGAAGAACTTGAAAATGGGAAGATAGACTTTTTCAGGTCTTCCAGAACCCCACCCCCCCAAAAAACCCCTAAGGTTGCAACTTTGCATAGCAAAAGAATCATCCAAATGGGAGATTTTTCCACAACTGACATGTGTCAGCAAAGGATGTAAAGAAATCAGAGTGTAATCTTAATAATGGTGTTTGCAGCAAGCGAAAGTCATTCTCTGAAACGGTGGTGTTTTCACCAGTCTCAACAGGTACCCACCTCCCCCACCAGCTTGTACAACTGTAAGTACAGAGAAAGCTACTTAGCCAACGACAGACTTTGTGGGAACGCACTGTTTATACCCATCACCCGTGGAACAGGACGGAGGGGTTTGATTTGTCTTTTGCAAAAACAGACATGAAAATGTACCAAGGTTGCAGTTTTATCTCCATTTTGGACAGGACGCAGAGAAATTAGGCTGTTCACCTGACTGTATGGCATACATCAAATGAGAGGGTGAGATGGCTTGAATCAACAGGACACCTGGACAGTCAAACAGTGAAAGAAACTAGGGTGTACAGATCAATACAAATGCCTTAAAATTAAAGGCCAGGGAAGAATTAATATTAACAGACACAAACAAACACAGAGCTTTTTTTGCATGATGCAACAGGACAGGGAATGATAAAAAGACCTGGTATAAAGAGTAAACCTCAGGAAAAAATATTCTTAACTGGATTAACCACTTCAGGGCTATAGTGAACTAGGTGCTGTTTGCCACAGGAGCTGGCAGTAAATATAGTTCCCAGACTACTTAAAAATAGTTTCATAAGGCCTTTCCATGCTCCAAAGTGAGTTAAGACATTCAAGGCTATTGACCGCAATAGGTTTGCATGTAAAATGGTTCAAAACAGTTTCAGCTAGAATCTCTTTGATCCTCACCCTGTTAATGAGATGGCTCAAAAGCTGCTTATTGCCAAAGGCAAATCCTTTCTTGAAACACTCCAAGAAGGATTCCCAAATCTGTCTGTACTTCCTTGAGTGTAGGGATGATGCCAAAACAGAGAGCAGCTTGCCCCTCGGCCCCAACATTTGTCGTTTTTCCCACCCGAGGGTAAGTGCCCCGTCACAAAACAAACCGAGCATGTCATCAATGCTGCAGCCCTCCAGGAAGGGGGAGAAAAGGATCCTATCACGACTAACGCTGGAAGGAGAGTTTAAGAAACAGTTTTAGCACTTTCGGGGACCTTACATTTTAGACCTGTCAAATACCATAGTATTCCCAGTGTCACAGAAAGGGTAATGGAGTATGACGGCTTTAACAGGGCAAATGGGTTCCTCAGTCTCTCACCTAATAGTTGAAGTGCTACTTCATGCCAGCTGAAATATTCTGGCACAATGACTCCAAAAGACAAGGGGAGAGGAAAGAATTAAGAAAGGCAAAAGCAAAAATGCAGTTTTGCAGGAGGAAGAAGGAACGTCTCTGCTTGTTTGGCATTTGAGAGCGACCTGGATCTGCGCTCTCTTCACTGCAGAAAGTGAATATTTACTAGATCCTTGAAAATTAGCAGAAGAACAAATACTATTATCAGCTTGATAATGGAACAGCAGGGAGCCGAGGTTCACCAAGACATCTTCTGCTTGGGATTCTGGTCCGACGGTGACTTAAGCAATCGCCGATTCCTCCTCAGCCTAAAGAAGGGCATTTGTGCCTGAAAGTTTCCAAAGAAATACTTTTTTTGGTGCCATTTAGTTGATCTAACCAAGGGCTTTGTGTATCTCTTTTCTTCTCCGACCAATACAGCTACAACACAGATCCCGTAAGCACGTCTGTAATTTTAAACACAAAGGTAGTTCCAATGAAGTCAAGGCAAAGTCTGCCCTTGGGTCTAATCTTGCAAATGCAAATGCAGCTGCGCGTGTTTAACTGCACAGTTCAGTGAAGAGTCCCACGACTTCTCACACCAGTAAGATTAAGGTCATAGAAGAGGGGCTCTGGGTAATAGTTGGCAGGTTAGGGAAATGTGAGCATCTCAAAGGTACCCAAATGTCTTTTCTGAGCTTTGACACGTACCCACAATATAGTAATAAATAAAAAAGCTAATGGCATTCTCCAGCAAAACAGTTTATTTGTCTTGATGCTGATGGTTCATTCGTCTCAAGGCACTGGAGAGAGAGTGTGGTTGACAGCTAAATCACTAATTTTTAAACGGCCAAATGTAACCTTTTAAATAAAGTGTTACTGATTCAATTATGCCGTGCTAATATATATGACATTTGAAACCAAAGAGCGTTTCACAATGTTTCTGGTGGTTTAGCACAGACAGTAATCAGTACTGAGTTTACGTATCAGAGCATTAAAACTGACTGCCTGCTATTTGTAGATTACTGCAAATCTAACTGGCTACTTGCCAATCACAAGGAAGTTTTAGAGTTGGCCAAAAATCTCCCCAGGTCAATGAGCAGCAAAGGCAAAGGGTTAGCTCTCCTCTTCCTGCAAGGTTTGTGATTTAGGAAGAGATTTACCTGTCACGGTGATCCACAGCTCTGAAGAGCGTTTCTCCCACTAACCTACTCCCCTAATCAACAGCAAGCAGCAATTTGACTCTACTCTTCTCCATAACCACATTACTCCAGGTCCTCTCCTCTGAGCTGCTGAATGCTCTTTGGAGACATGTACAGCAGGAAGGTATAAAATGTAGGATTCAGAGGACATGTTTACACATGCAGTTAATGCTACTTGGCTTTACTGCGCGCTAAATTCACTGTGCATTAAGCGTCTGCACATGTAGACGGTGATGCTTTACTGCGCAGTAAATTAGTCAATCGTGCAGTAAAGCGTCTCGCGTAGACACAGTCAGATAGTTGCTGCTAATCCAAATGAGACAGAGCACAGAGGCTTCTTTGCAGCATTTGGCTGCTTTTTAATTTTTCTCTGCGTTATTGCCTTATTTCCCTCAGCTTCCCCATTTCTTTATTTTCTGCCTATTTTCTTATCTATTCCTATCTTCTGGGTCCCTTTTTCTCTTCATGCTATGTTTTTAAATATTTTTTATTATTCCTAGAGTACTGCCCATTCCTTCCAGGTGGTCTCCCTCCATTCCTGTTATCTCTTGGCTGCCACCTCCCCTTACCTCTCGGATGGCCTCTCCCTCTTTCTTCTTGATTCATCCTTTCTGCTTGTTCTCTCATCTTCCTTCCCCAGCTGCCTCCATGGCAAGATGACTAATAGACATACCACTTAAAAGCACTAATTCTCAGACACTAATAAATGCCTGATCTAATCCAGATCAATGCAATCAATGCAAATAATTCTATAAGATATCCCAGTAGGGTGGGGAATGGGGGGGCGGATTCCATTCAAAATTCAATGCAAGCTAAAAAAAGGAATAAAATAAGGGCCTGAAGGTTGCAAGTCTATGCACATGGCTACAAAATGCTCCTCTGGTTTTTTTTAAGATCTAAATTTAACTTCTTCTATGATGAATTTAAAGCTATATTCATCATAACGGTAACAGTCTGAGACGGAAGAAAAGAGGAACCTAAAGAAAATGCATCAGACAAAACAATAAGGCAAGGAAAGATCTGTACTGGAACACAGTGTTTCAGAAAAGTTGAAAAGAAAGCTACAGAGATAGGAAATTCTGGGTTCTTTTTTCCATACTATACGCTTTTGTGTAATAATTAAAAAAAAAAAAGATTAAAGATACCAAGGAATGCACTTAAAAAGAAAAAAAATGATTACAGGGACATTTTGTTCTGTAGGACTTTTCTCAGATCTTGGAAAAATAGCTGAGCAAATTGATTCTATTACAGTAATTGCCTACGCCTTGCAGAATGAACAGCTACCATTACAATATTGGAGTATTCATTGGAGTAATATGTTTCCAGGGTATTTTTAATTAGTTCTACCAACTTGTCTAATAGCCTTCCTAAAAGCCTCAAAACATGGCAGAAGGCACAACTGCTGACTCAGGCTCGGAGAGCACCTGCACAATCTCCTCCAGGAGAGAAACACGTGTGCCAACTGCAGTCCCTTTGGGGTCTGGGGTGAGCTCCAGTGCTTGCAGGCAGCCATTCAGACTCACCGCGAGATGGCACATCCGTGTCCCACCGTCAGAGGATGACAGCACGTTTAATACATGTCCCACGTCTCCAACACGAGCATCCCCACAGGACGTGGAGCTTCTAAATCTCGTAGTTAGGGCCAAGTCCTAGACCCCAACACAAACCCCATCTTATCATGGTAACTTTGTCAAGAGGAGGGAAGTAGAGTCCACTCTCCCGGCAGAAGAAGCAGCACCAGCCAAACAGCCAGTTGTAATCCGCCCATCTCAAATGCCAACCTCACTTCCCCTCCGGCACGCAGAGTGAGCCAGGGGGAAGTGTCAGTCCAGAGCAGACAGGAGAGATAAGACCTCCCTGCATGGCTGCTCTGTCTCCTCCTCCATGCCAAGCTCAGCACAGTGGCAATGGTCCCAAAACCGTCACTGAAATGGGGAAGCACAATGATGGAGACAAATGCGCTTCATGCCCACCTGAGCATCTCGGTACAGGATCTGGACATCCTTCTAAATAACAGTTTTGCTTTCATGCTCTTGCCAAACAAATCCAGTAAGTGGTATGAGGCTAGGGAGCTTCCCTCAAAGTGTCACTGATTATACTAAACTTGACCTCTCCGAGACACTGGGCCAAATTCGGAGACACTGGGCCAAATAACTGTCCTGATTTTTACGCCCATTCCCTCCACCCATGCAAGGAGTCCCTGGTCTCACGGTAACTCTAGTTGAGACAGACCATTTCTGCAAGGTGTCGGTGAGCAAACTCAAACTCTTCTCAGCAAACTCGAGCTCTAGCTCTCAGGCTGGAAGAAATTAGATGCAAATCAGTCGTCATCTGTTCTGGGGGACATTTTTTATGCCACAAAATCTCAGTTGCCTAACAATGAATCGGCTCTTGATGCATGCCTTTTTCCCCTAACCCATGTCATTGTTGCAATGTGGTCTGCTGTTGATATAGCACAATATCACTAATGAAGTATTACAAAGCCAGGGCTGCAAACTAGCAGCAAAGGAAAATAAACTCTTAAGCAAGAAAGATCTAGGGCCTGCCTCTCCTCTTATTTACCACGGCAGAAATGAAAAGTAGCTCTGTGAAAGTCACGGAAGTTACACTTGGGTATGACCCATGCAAGTGAAAACAACACCCAGTGTTTTCCTATAAATTTTCATATAAATGGCCTCAGAAAATAAATAACATATAATAAGCATCTCTTTCCCACATGTGGAACAGTTTCCTCAGTCTGCTGTGCGGCGTAGGCACTGTGCATTTCTGAGACTTGTGTGTTTTCATACAAATGTTTCCAGGAATAAATAAAAAAAATACACATTTCTTCCTGAACAGGACATTCTGCAAGATTCCCAACAAACAAACTGCTCTGAAAGATCTGATTTGGGCTAAATGTATTTTATTTTAATGCAAAGCCATTTGGGGGGGAATCTTCAGCACAATTTCCACCTGCCCTAAAGTGCCAGGGCTAATTAAACCTGAGTCGCATGATGCAGACCTACTGGTGTTTTAAGTTAAGTAATCATTCATCCTACCCAAGGATGATTTAAAAAGGCAGCCTTGCTGTGGCCTTCTGCTCTGCCTCTGGGCACTTTGAGACCTCGTGCCCTGAGCTCGCACAACGCAAAGGGCAGCAAAAGGTTAGCACAGCAAGTAATAGCTGTAGAAGATGGCTCAACTAAAAGGGATACAGCTACTGAGATACTGAAGCTCTGGCCTTAATAGCTGAGGCCAAATTCTGCTCATAACTGCATGCACTGATGACATTTCAGACGAGCAGCACTGATTTCAACCTTACCTTTGTCATAGAAAGGAATAGCCTAAGCTTCTGGTGTCCCCAAACTACAACACATGTACTTTCAAGTAGTTTTCGCCTCAGTCGCTAGCCCAGGATGCTCACGGTACCCCACAATACCAACCCAGCTTCAGTTTTAAAGACAAGCCAACTCTCAGTCCTCCAATGTCACTGTGATAGCACTGCCTATATGTCACTCTGCCCTCTGATCCCAGGGCCTCAAAGGTACTGGAGGCAGGTGTAAACCCCATTTATCAAAGAAATGGCAAAGTGCTGTCTCATACCCGTCAGAGAGACAATGGTCTTGTTTGCTTTGTGCTGCTCTGTTGAGCTGGTTCTTTCTCTCTGTTTCCCTTTTTCAGCCTTGCAAACACTTGTGCGTACACAGCAAGATTTCCTTCCTGATCTGCTAAAAGCCATTTATTGTAACTCTTCTTCATACCTTATTTGCTAAGGGAGGAATTCACCCCTGGGCAGACAGCCGGCATGAAGTCTGTGCACCATTCCAGGACGGGGCAAGCCCTGGTTTTTGCCTCCTATCACCTCTCTGCACAAGGGGAAATGTAACCATCAAATAATAAAGCAAGAGTTGGACACTTAAGCATACCAGATACCCATGAGCTGACACCTCAAGACTAGAGAACAGGTCTCATCAGCCATGTAAGCCCTAGCATCTGATGCAGGACAGAAGGGATACTCCTAAAGAAGTCATAAATAAATGCCTCATATCCTTCAAGTCTTTTTGTTACCTATATAATCTGATTTTCACTACATTTTTGGAACGGTACATTAAAGGGCTTCTTAGCAAGTTTTTTAAAGAGATTCCTGATTACCTATGATGTTCCTTCTTTTACTATACAGGATATAGAGCCCTCCCTACATATCTGCACTGAAAAAGGGTGGTTTTCCATATGAAGAAGATACACAAACAGGACATGGCAGGTATCTTTCCCTTAGACTTTTATTTCATGCTTTATTTCATCAATCCGAGATATGCCACTAGTGTGAATGTACTTGGCAGGCCCCTCCTCCTAAATGCCATGGTTTTTTTAAAAGGATGTTTTAGCTGTACAGTTGCTTTTATACCTTTGCTCGCCTTGTGCATAAAATGCATAGTAGATGTTGGTGGACAGTACCATGGAAGAGGTAAGCACATATGATTCAAGCTCGTGTTGCTGTGCCAACTGTGTCCAAAACTACGGCTGATGCCAACTGTTCATACAGGAGTAAAAATAGGGCATAATTCTGCACACCTTGCAGGCAGAAATGGGGCTCTAAGCATTCATGGGAACGCAGGATTGGGCCCTACGAGAAGTTAGGGTCAGTGCTACAAATGATCCTAGAAGGAGGTCCTTGCACTTCAGTCAGGTTCACTGGAGCTTCTAGTTGGGCACAAGATTACACCAGGGAGCTTGTAGGATTGGGGCCGCAGTGATTGGTGGGCTGCCAGTCTGAGATACCAGGTCTTCTCTTTGTGCACAGAACCTGTACAGCACAGGCAGTACTGGGTCCTCCCCCTCCTGCCCCCTCCCACCGACCACAATCCAGGACTGTGCCTTAACCTACTTGCAAGGCAGACACCACTTCTACGTGCGATCTGCCAAAACCAACTGATCTCCGAGTTGGGATGCAGCTAGGAAGACGATGTACACCTCTCAGCTATTAACAAGCAAGAAGAGGAGCCCTAGCTGCAGAACTTGGCCCTGATGGAGGCCTGCCAGAGTCCCTGGATGGCTGCCTTCTGTGTCATATAAAACCTGCTTTTTTTAGCTGCCCTCCCTGTGACCTATTCTGGGTTCTGTCCTTGCTTCGTCTCCTAATACCCCCTTTGCCTCTTCCACGGAAACGTCTGGGAACGGGGTCCTCTGACTGGTCAGGTGGCGGGTCGTGGGATGCCATAGTGCCTCCATCTGTACCAGATGCTACTGGCATCTCAGTCTTGTTCCTGGAGCCATCTGATTCTTGTTCACTAATGGGATATGCCGCACTTCAGTTGCTGCCAAGCTGTGTTTGGACACCTTGGGGTAGGCTCACTGCAACCTGCTTAGTAACTTTGCCCTTCTATAGCATTCTTCACCCAAGGGTCTCAAAGCACTTTGCTAGCATTGCCCACGTCTTGCAAACCTCCTGCCCAGGGAGAAATGTTATCTCCATCATGTAGGAAAGGAAGCCCAGGCCCACGTTTTCAAAACTGTCTACTAGTTTGAGGTGCCTCAGTTATTGGATGCAATGCTCGATGCTGTTGAGAGCACCAGTGTTTCAGAGCACCAATGAGCAAGCACCCTGGGCCTGGTTTCTAGCAGGGCTGTGCACCTGCAGCACCCACAACGCGTGGCCACTTGAAAAGTTGAGCCTAGGAGACTTGCAAAAGGTCATACACTTCTGAGCTAAGGACCAATCCCTGATATTTTAACAAACAGCTCTGTGTATTTAGCATTAAATTGTCCTTCCCCACCTAAGCCAAGCTTCTTCTGATATCAGGTTGTTGATTTAAATCTTCCTTAAACATGAACCTCTATTTTTAAAAAATGACTGTTAAGCAAAGAAGCTGAAATAGAAAGCATCTGATCACACTTTTCAGGACTGTTCACTGATTTGGAGTAACCAAATCCTGACACCTTGGGCCTTGTTTTCCAAAACAACTATGCAAAATTTAAGGTATTTTTCTCCTTTTCAAACAACATGAACAAAAAAATATATAACAATCCACTAGCCTGCCAACCTGAATGCCCTAATCCATTCCCTCTTGCAGTCTGTTCCTCACATATATCGCCACAGTGGAATTGCTGGAACTCAACCCATAAGACAGCTATCTGAAAAAGGATACCAGGAGATGTGTCGAGGCCTACGCCTAAAACCTGCTCTGAACTTAAGGGAAGTCCATCCCCTGGTCTAGGTCTAAACTCCGTGCTTTAAGTCTGGGCTGCAAACTCAAATACCCTGTGAATTCTGGGAAGCTCATATTATGACATAAAACAGGCCATCTCTGAACAGAATGAAAACCAGGGTGCCGGTAAAACCAAGGTGCTAAGTAAAGGTGAAATTAGATTCAGGGGGCGTATGAAGCTTTGTGGTAGCAGGGGTAGAACAGCACTGGCTGGATCTGCTCGGCTAAACTGCCCTGTGAGAAAGAGCTGTGGAAGAATGATAAAGAGCTTTGGTAGTTAAAAGTCAGTCTCACATGCGAGCTTACTTAGTTTTATCTACTTAGCCATTAAATGAATATCAAAGGACTCACAGCAGCTAAGCTAACTGACCTCATTCTATATCTTTGGCTTTATGCACCCAAGTTCAAGTGCAAGCAGCTTCACTCCCTTCTCGGTACCTTTAGCTTGGAAACATTTTATCTCTATTCCAGGTACAACACCCAAAGAAGTCAAAAGGAATTTAAACAGAGGTCCTGAATCTCAAAATGTGTCTTATCCTCATTTGCCTC